GAAAAGTTGAGATAAATCTACAAGTTCATCAACATTTGTGGTTTTCTCTTTTCAAAACTGGACAAAAGAATGAATTTTGCCCTCTACACAGGCTTCTTCACAGTACATTTAAGATCAATATAAATCAGTTAGTCATCTCTAGCACAGACAGTCAGACTACGTGCTCTCACTACCCCGAAACCAGAGTTATCCTTTTAGGTTTCTCCATGTTCCTTCCCTCAGCCCTGCTTCAATACATGCACTGTAACACCAGGCTGCCATTGCAGGCTGTGCTGCTGCAGGAGACATGACACACAGTGTCAAGAAAGTCAGCATCACAAGGTATTTCTTGGTAGAAAGTCCTGCTTCCTTTGTCTCCTCACCACCCCCAGAGACTGCTGTCCCAATGCCTGTCCTCTAAAGAGAGAGCAGGGGGACAGTTATAGGAATAATCTGGGCTGATTTGTTGCCAACTTTTTTGTTCAATGTTTATCCAGATTTTTAGAGGATTCCAGTCTTCTCATAATTTTCTGTAAATGCACTGATAAGCGATACTATTAAGGTGACCATTTGGGGCAGGGAATTCAGTGACAGATATACACTGACACAGCTCAGGAACCATCCCAAGTGACTGCAGATTCTTTTCTTTTTCAATACCTTATCAAAACCAATTAAAATCACTTTAAACCTCCTTGTCATGATTTCAGGCCTAATGCAACTCAGTTCCATAAACTCCTTGCTGTAGGAACAACAATTTTTTGACATTCATAAATATCATCGCAAATATACACTGAACTTTCATTTATCATACTGAAGTAGAACAAATATATGATTGGAAGCAGGATGAGCTGTAATAACTTCTGAATATGTTCCATATTTTTACACTCCGTGTATTCCATGTTTGTCAATTTGCATTTGCTATGCTAGAACTGGAATTTATTAAGGTAAATCAGGAGCAAGATGGGGATTCATATTTCAGATTTTTGTGCCATTCTCCCACGTGAAATCAGAATATAAGTGTATCATTGAGACTGATTATTCCCACCACTGCTTTCTGCAGTTTCACTGATTTCCCATCCAGCTGAGAAAATATTTTCCTGTGAAACATCTGGCTAAGGAATGCTGGGAGCTCTGAAATGGCTGGTGCATTCTCTGAAGTAGACAGCTTTGAAACAAAGTAACGTAGTATTAAGCGACTCCAATAGACTGAAAAATATTTGACAAGAACTCACTAGAGACTATCCAAGATCCTGTAGCTGTTGTCATATACTTCTCTAAGTACATTGCCCTGGCACATGCAGATGTAACTGAAACTGTGAAGATATTATGGGAATAAAAGTACAAACACAACAAAAAAAGCTGTGAGGGGATGCACATCGGAGCAAAGAAGGAACTGTAAAAATAGAGAGAAATGGAAAAGCAAAAGCAAAGAAAATTTGCTTTGTCCAGGTTGCAGTTTTTCTCTCATGAATCTTTCTCAGAGGTGAGAGTTTCCCAGCTCTACAGCAGTTACTCCAGAAAGAATAGAAGAGTGACATCTTTACCACCTTTGTGCTTAAATAAAGATAAATAACAGAAAACAGAAAATAAGTAATTGAAGATAACAATAAGACCAGTATTGATTTCATTCGTGATAGTCTTGGGCCAAGGGTTAGGGCAGAATTCAGCCCAGCACTTGGCCACAAATATGGTTACAGCACCATCAACCAGGGATGCAATCATCAGCTGAACCTCAGGCACCTGAGCAGCCCCTGGCAGCCCTGTGCAGAGCTAGTTAGGCCTGGCCAAAAGAGAGCACTCACCCTTTCTTGAACTCATAGTATTTAATCTGATTGTTATTCAGAAAAAATAAAGTCTTTCTGCCATTGTTCCAACACAGCTCCCATTAATAGACGCAGCAACTGAACATTAGACGCTCTTGTGGTGCAGTGGAATGATCACAGGGAAACTATGAAGTCAACGCAGAAAGTCATAAAACTGTCACATGAGGTCCCGTGAGAGAACAGGTCAAGAAGAAAAGGCGTCAAAAAGCAGGGGATTTCTGGAAAAAGACACCAACATAAACCACATCACCATGAAGGAATCACATGAAGTGTTGCAAGGAATTAACTTGGCTGAAGCGAGGAGTCCGTCACGTGTCTTCACATCACAACAAAGTATGCAGGCAGGGAAATAGGGTCAGATCACTAAGGACAAGCCTAAAAGTACAACATGTTGAAACAAGAGTAGCAGGTAGGGACATGTGAAATGTTCTATTAAAGGTCGGGTTTAGAAATATATTCACAGATAAGAGGAAGGACAAAGAAAAGGTTGATCTACTAAATACTTGAGATCAGAAGCTATTGAGATATTACTCTAAGAAGCTATGAAAGTCAGCTGCAATCAGATAGAGAGTATAATCACTCCTAATAAGCAAACACACCTACCTTTGGTAGAGAAAGAACAGGTTAAAAAGTATTTTGAGAAGTCAGATATTTTCAAATTGACTGGTCTTGATACAATGTCATCATAGAGAATTTTAAAAAGCTGGTTGAGTAAATCTTCAAGTCATTAGCAGACATGTTTGAAAAGCAATAGAAAAAGGTGAGATATCTGAAAACAAATAGAGGGCAGATGTGGCATCTACCTTCAAGGAAAGGGAAAACAAGAAAAGGCATCAGGGAGCTACAGATGTATCTACTTAGTCCCATTTTCAGGAAAAAATATTGGAACAGCTAAATGAATAAATGATTACAAGCATGTAAATGGAAACAAAGTGTTGAATAATAACCCATATGGATTTGTCAGGAGCAAATTCTGTCAAGCCAATCTCATTTATTTCTCTGACAGGACAACAGGTCTGGCAAAGAAAGGAGAAACAATAAATGTGACGTATTTTGACATTATTTAGGAGTTTGACTATTTTATACAATATTTTCCTAAGCAAACCAGGGAAATATAGCTGAAATGCCACATTCTGACAGTATTTCTATGCCCTGAAGGCACAAACATACAGCTATTGATTAATATGATTAAACCAATGGTTCAAGGGACCAGTGGTTCCACCTTGTCTATAAAGGTGGCCAAAGATAGATAGATCCTGAGGGAGGAGTAGAAGAAAAAGCCAAAAATGCTGCAATGCTTTGCCAGAATCCTTGATTCAAACAGCTTGTGGCTCAAGGACTGTCTAAGCACATGGTGGTCTCTCTAAACCTTTTCTTTGTGAAATGTTTGGTAGCTTTTTTGAACCAGCATATTTTTCTGGCATCTCAAACATCCTGTGGCAAGAAATACTAAGACCTTTGCAAGACTTTGCAGTATGTGACAAACCACGTCCAGTTGTTTTGAATCTGACTCTTGCTATTTAATTTGATTTCCCCTATTTCTTATGTTGAAAAAGAGAAAAAAAATAAGTCTGTTTTCCCTTTTTCTGTGGTACTTGTGATATGACAGATCTGTGCTATATGCCCACTTAGCTACTCTTATCCAACCTGAAGTTTCCTAATAGGATTAGCTGATTTTCCGAAGCTACTTTGATCATCTTGTCTCAAACTTCTCCAGTTGTGATGTACTTTCATTTTGATGGCAGATTAAATCTCCTCTCAGTGTATAGAAGTACTATCAGGATGTGTGCAGTTCTGAAGTAAAGGATTTGGGTCATTGTTAATCAGAAACCGAGTGTGAGTGAAAAAGGGCCTGCTCTTGCAGAAAAAGCAAACCTGTATCAGCATGTATAAACAGAGATGTAGCCTGCAAAGCTTCTGAAGTCGTCTATCCATTCTGCTCTGTGCTGGTCAGGATGTAGCTGCAGCACTCCACACAGCACTAGTTAGTGACATCAGTGATGGAGAAAAACAAGAGGAAAATACGAACTCATTGGGCAAGACTGAGAAGAATGATTAGAGTCTACACAAGTAAACAAGCTGGGAGGAAAGATTAGGGAAACTGGACTTGCTTATACTACTAAGCCTAATCCAGAAGGTAGGCTGGACAAAAAGCCTTCAAATACATGACAGAGCAAGGAAGTATTCTTGTGTCCTCATTCTCAGATTTTCAGCTCTATGTGTCTTTGTTTATGCAAAATTGGTTTTGTTGTTTAGCCACCCAAGAGATAAAACAGTTTAGAGATGTTTAGTAAATCTGTTCAAGTTTTTATTTCTAGTTTCCTCTCCTAAATTTAATTTTCCCCGAGGAAATCTGGTACAGGATATGCTTATGCTTTCTTTTCACTCTCCAGACTGCTCAGCAAATGAATGTGTTTTTTCTCTCCTACAGGATTTCCCACTCGGTGTATAACCCATTAATAAAGTTTTTCATGAAACAGGAAAAATATCAGCAATTTGTCACACTGAAATCCAGCAGTTTCTACAGAGAAAGCGTTAATAATACAACCTGACTTAACATTTCCTTTTTAGCACTTGCAAGTCCTTGACTGGAGAACATTACAGCTTCATCCACAAAATAAACACCCTTCTTGTTTATATAATGTTTTAAATATTCCAGTGTGGAGTGGTAATAAAAGGAAGCACTAGGTGAGGGCACAAAGGGGTTAATGGCCTTTCTCGGAGAAAGTGTTTCTTTGGACTTTTCCCATAGTGTTTGCCAGCAGTGACAAGACTGGAGGAAGGGGCCTTCCCACAGGGCGAAGGAGAGGATGGGAGAGAGCGGAGAATAAAGACCAGGAGACAGGAGACGTGTTGGAAAGGAGTCAGAGATTTTTATGTTTTAAGTGGTTACATGAAAAGCAGTGGGAGTGTAAGCAAACCTGTTCGTATGCCCGCATAGCCTTATCTCTCATGTACAATAACAATAACACCGAACTGTGGCAGCTGTGCCCTATCAAACCTGCCAGATGAACTGACAGATAGGAAATCTCTGTTTTTAACCCCCTATTATCTGGTTCAGCATTTACTTCTAGCAATTTGTCAAGCCATTTAGTCACAGTCCCTCCAGGCATATTTTTCTCTTCTGAAAAAACACTACTGGGGGAGGCATTTAGCCTCCTCCTTGGGTTTGTCATCCTGACAGGCATGTGTCAGTAAGGTGCTTGACTCTGCACCAGCTGATGTAGCGCTGGCAGCTGCTGCTGCTCCAGCTGAGATCCTCAAAACCACTCGCTGTGCTTTCCTCCTCAGGGCACTGTGAGGCGGGGAACTCAAGGTAAGCATAGCTAAACGCCATCTGCTATTATTATTATTATTATTATTATTATTATTATTATTATTATTATTATTATTATTATTATTATTATTATGTGAAGGAAAGCATCTACCCTTTCCTCAGCAGCTGATTTGCCTATATTGATACATATCCCTACACCTGCCCCACCCTGCCAGTAGGGCCAAATTGTCATGCCTGTGCAGATAGATCCTTAACGAGATTTTCCAGAGTGCCTTTTCATGACATGCTCATTGTGCTTTGTGAGATAGGCTTAACATGCTCCAGGTCTAAGGTAGGGTCTCGAGCAGGTACGTGTTACAGCTGCCAGCCAGGAGTGAGGAAGCTGAAGGAGGAATTACCTGCCTATTATTCAATTGCAACGCATTACTGTGAAACTCATCCATTACACAGGATCCATTAGAAGCATCTTCAATTTTCATCAGATAGTCACTGAACTTCAAAAATGTTTGAGCAATAAAACAGTCCTTAAAAGGAGGAGAGGAAGCTTATGAAACTAATAGCTGGACTTTTAAAACAGCTTCCTATAGAGTGTTTTTGCAAGAACTAAAGGAAATGAGAGTCTTTCTGCACTAGGAGATTATATTTCTGCTTTTCATGGTTAAATCTGAAATGACCGGCTCCAAGTAAACATCTGAACTTCATCTGGGTTTGAACTGAAAAAGAAATTGAGATGCAGATTCATTTAGGCAATAAAGAACAAGTAAATTGTGCTCTTGTTAAAGGTTACAGGTTTGGATTAATGTCAGAATTTGAAATGATCAGCTTTCACACTGCAAATAATATCTTTTGAAAAAATAGTGGTATTTTTCTTTTGATTCCTTCAAGTCAATTTAGTTCTGGTGAAAGCTACTTGATTGACAGCCCTGGAAACCAGCACTCTGTGCTCATAAGCAGTCTGGACAGAGGAGTGCAACATGCATAGCAGCAGCACAAATTTTCACAAATTGCTTGTCCACCTCAAACGGACTTCAAGCATCTGGCTCCATGGGACACAGCCAGACTGCCCAGGCAGATGTTGGCTTTTCAGGCCTGAAAACAACGGTGCCAGTCAAGCAACTCCCATTTTGAAGGATTTCTGTGAGAAGTCACATGGAAATACTGCTGAGAAGTGTGTCCTTCCAGGGATCAGAGAAGAAAAAGAAGCAAAACCAACCCTGAACAATTTTTCACAAGCTCTTCATATTCCACTTTCTGCAAACTAGTGACAACTTTCAACTCTGTCCACCCACAAGTGCTTCCTGTTTTCCAGAAGAGTGAAGGGAAGAGTAAGAGAGGCAAGGGTCATTTCCCATTTGCATCTCTAGTGAAAAAATATCCCTGAAGCTTTTATTATTATCATCTGTGCATGCTGTACAACTCAAAGGCAGATTCATTTCTGCCAAATAAATTTGATTTACAAAGCTGTACTACGTCAACACACACACAGAAGTAAGAGTGGGCGGTCAACAGCTCCCACACTAAGGTATGATGTGCAGTTGCCAAAACCTTCTGAAGAAATTTCCCCGTGACAGTGCCCCAGAGCAGTGTTGTGCTGACCAAAGCAGTACAGGAAGGATATTCTTGACATGTCCAAATTTCTATTGCTGTCCCAAAGGTGAAGCCACCTGTACCAGGGTTACTGCCAGTGGACTAGTCCATGAGTAAAGGAGCTGGTCCTTTTGACCACGCAGAGCCTTGAAAATAATGCCAGACAGACGCGGTTATAGCAAAGGGCATGTGAGGGAGGCAAAAGATCTGGAAATGCCCCTCTCTGATCATGACAGCAGTTGTTGCACTCTCACCTGAACCAACATCCACTGGCCACAATCAGAAGGGATTGTTACGGCACGGTCCAAACCCTTTAAATTTTTCAACCCTAAAACACTGCTCAGAGGGCAGGCAAAGCCCAACACAGCTTCTAAGGTGAGAGAAAAATCTAGGGCAGAGCCAGGCTCTGTATTCTCCCTTATCTGCTCCAAACATCCAGGTGTCCTCTCTCCAGAAGTGGTGTTACTATGAGAGCAACTCTTATAATGCCCTGTGCTCTGTGCCTCAACCCTATGAGCATGTGATTATAATAGATATAAAACTAGGTACATATCTTCTAATATTCTCTGTGTGTGAGATATATATGGTACATATCTTCTAATATTCTCTGTGTGTATATATATATATGTATACACACATATATATATACAATATGTTGCTGCACTGCAACTAAATTCTCTGTACTTCTCAGTTCCACTTGCTACCGTTTTGATGAATCACTGCATTGTGAATCAGGTTGGTGTTTGAACAATATCTCCCACTCCAGTTTTTTACACCTGCTCATGTGCTTTTGTAAACCACAATATTCTATTGTGTCTCCCTTGCCCCAATCCACCAGTGATGTTGAGAAGTGTTTGAAAAAAAGAATTATTTTTCAGTGTAACAGGCCAACTAATAAAATGGAAAGAATAATAATTTCAAGTTAAATTAGATGTTTTGTTACCCACAGAGCTACATATATCCTTTTGTTCATTATTTCACATTTGAAAACAATAAATGGGAAGAAAAGTTCACAACAGGATTATTGTTTCAAAATGTTTTCTTTGAAAAATTTCAAAATCAATCTTTTTAAGCATCTTTTTCTCCAAAATTAATCACCAGGTTAAAGCCAAATAGATACACATTTTAAGAAGTCTTCTGAGTTTCATTGCTCATTTTTCTATTCATATTAACAATTATCTTACTTTTCTTTTCTGTTACCCTTGATAGATGAAGCACATTCTTCAAAAAGATCTATACTCTGGCCCCATCAATATCCACTTTCATACTGATGCTTTTAAGAAACTGCCAGTCAGGAATAACAAGATTCTCTGGTAAGCAAAGCAGAGACTGATGAAATTCTGTCCTAATTAAGTCAGTGGCAATGCTTTCATTAACTTCAACAGACTTAGAATTTCACCCCTGACATTTCTCATATTTCTGATGCACCAGTATATGCTTTTATCACTGGCTCCCTTCTCATCAGTTTTGAATTTTAGTCATTCATTGCACTTATTTTTCTGCTTTTTGAGATAGGCTGTATGCCAGTAGTGTCTTTGGAGTTCTTTTTGAACCCCAAAGACATCAGGATGCATGTGTTTGCAGGATGAGTCTTTGGCTTGAAAGCAATTCAGAATAGGAAACTTTTTGCCTGTTCCTGTACAGCACTCGGCATTAAGGCTTCCAGACCTCATCAGGACTTGGTTACCACAAAAGAAATCACTTACAATAACTATCCTGAACAGAAGAATAGTGCAACACATAATGCATAGCATATTGTGCCTCACTAAACCATCCAATGGGTAGTAGCGATGGGTGGTGTGGACAAAGAGCAGAGACTTAATAAAAGTGAGTTTATGACCTACATTTACTGGAAATTCCTTGTTCACGAGGAACAATTGCAATCCCCAATCCCCAACACAAATGCACGTGATGTGCAACACACAACACATTACATTTTGTTTTATCCAAATGTCCTACAAGTTAGACGCATGCAGTATAGTATCTGACTTGTTACTACAAATGGACTGAACGTTTTTGAGTGATGTGTCTGTTGTCAATTTTCCACTGTTAAAACTGTTCTGTGATAAAATTAACCACTTTAATTGTCAGATTAAACAAGCAAAAGGAAAGAACAGTTCTAGATCTGCTAATGCTTTTACATCTTACTATTGCTTCACTTGCTTCTCCTTGCACTACTTTGTAACTGTCACCTCTCATTTTTCACTAGGAGCCTACTTAATAGACTTATTTTCCTCTGCAATATTGAGCTTCAGTGTAAAATAGCTTCCCATTCAGTTGTGGTATCCACCTGACCTCTCAGCTCCGGCTGCCAACAAGGCTTGGGCGCTGGGCTGTGTACCAGAACACATTCCCACGGGAGCAGGTGGGAGAACGAGGGATCATCAAGTCTGATTTCAGAAATTACCCCCTGTTTCTTTTAAAGCAAACTGAATCAATAGGTTCGGCCATCATTTCAGGCTTGCCCATCTGAGACTTGAGCGGTTCTGCAATGAGCAGGGTGTATTTACCATTCAGCAAGAAGAGAGATTCATGTCTGTCGAACTTTGCTGCGGTTCAGTAGAGAGGAGCTTAATTAGTAGCAGTAGCAGGTCACTTTCCTTTGATCTAGAGCAAATCTTACAGAAATACTTCATTGGTTTCAGTGGGATAACCTGCTCCAATGAGGTGAAAAGGAATTGGCCCTGGAATTGTAAAATAGACTTAGATTGACAACCACTTCTATATTTGCTTTCTGCCTTAATGAAAGCTAAATGATACTTTAATGAGATCACAACAGGGCAGGTCCAGAGGGACTGGCATGTAGACAGTCAGCACAGTTTATTCATAAGGTTGCTTGCCTTCAGATACCTAAGTATCCACCGCATGTTATGCAAACAGCAATGAATCTTGGCTTCATAAGAAATACCCTCAGTTTTCGAAATCCGGGAGGGAGAACACAACCAACCATCCATCCTATGCCCACCTTGTTGTAAAAGGACTAGTGTAACAAGCTAATCTGGGATGCTTATTTTCTGAGGTCAGAGCATAACACAATAGGCAAGCCCAAGCTATTACATAGGAAGGTCAGGCCTTTTTAAGAGAAACATGAAGCAAGCAGAGGCCTGCCTGAGGATGGGGCAGACTGTGAAAACTTGGAGTGTCACATGAAAACTAAAATGCAGCTGGATTCTGCACTCATTGTGCAACGACATGGGGCAATTTGCTAAGGATCTCTTTTAGAGCATCTCCTGATAACATACCTGAAAATCAGACAGTGTCAGAAACAAGGCATTTGGAAGCCTCAGCACAGTGATAATGTAGTGTAAAAAGCTGTGCTACTGCAAATTAACTGCTTTTTACTGAGCTTGTCATTGCTATGTGCTGTTCTTCAGGTCCTGCCATGGAAAAGCGGATTGCTATCTCAGCTTTGCATCTTCTCTGACAAGATGATACCACCCTGAAGCGTGTCAGGAAAGTGAATCCTGCCTAAATTCCACCTCTTCCCTGACATGTGCTTCCAGGGTTTATTTTCTCACTCTTACAAGTGAAATGACAAGATACGACCTGTGCATCAGCAGAAGAAAAGGTCTAAAAGATCTATAACTAACTAGATTTGAATCCAAGGGTTGGCACACCATACTGGTTTGCAAGTTAACCAATGCCTCTTTCCACTATAGTCCCTTTTTCCTCTATCAAGCTGTGCCAGTGCAAGTTCTCCCAAGTTATCTCTATCTGCAACAACAAACATTTTATATGAACAGAATCACCAACTTTGGGATATGGAAACCTCTTCACTTCTGTCTGACATCTATCCCTGAGTATTAATTTCCTCTACCTTTGTATTTGGATATTTTCTTTAGATCTTCCATTCCATCTTAAGCACAATCCTCCAATCCTCCTTGAAAACACCTCTTTCCAGTCCCTTAAAAATATCTAGTTCACCACAACTGGTTACTTTCAATACCTCACAGAAGAAGTTCTTTTTCTGTCTACTCATTTTCCCATCAGCTACCTCTTCCTTTCCACTATGCTACTGGCTTCAAACCTGTAATTTGTCTCCATGAATTTCTTATTGATAGGTGCTTTCTGACACAACTGTGTGAAATATTCTCTTTGTAGCTATGATAATACCTTTTTCTTTTCCTACTGAATCTTTTTCAGCCCTTCCCATATAAACCAGAAATTGATTTCTCATTCTAGTGGATTCTTTTCATTAGTCAAAGAAAAATTTTGAAACTAAGAATTCCCATTTAAAAACTGCTGGAGGTCAGGAGAAAAATATATTTCATATTTTCTGTGTGGGGAAAAAAAAATCAAAGACTTTATAAAGCGCAATAAAGTGAAGGAAAAACACCTATCTACCTATGTAGATTTTGTCCTCTCCACTTTTTTTTGTGGTGGAAAAAGATTTTTAAGATTAATGTATCCTCAGAAAAAAGGAAGCAAATTTTCTGAAATTACCTTAGATGTTCTGAGAAACAATCCCGTTCATTGTGTGGAGTTTCAAACTTGATGATAGTCCGTATCTTTTTAATAAAAGAAAAAAAACCTGGGATTGCCAAGACACAGCTCTCCTCACCTCTCCATTTAGATTTGCTGTGGTAGACAATGGGGTGACAGTCCCCATATTTGTACCTGCAAGTGCTGTCAGTTCTGCACGGGCATCAGTGGGAGATGCCAGATGATTGCACAGACCTTTTTACTCTCCTGTATATTTTGCTCTTCCATCCTGAAGCACCAAAGCTTTTTATACTAGAGATTGTGCTTTTTCCATGCATTTGAAAAATGTTTAAAACACATAGCTCGTTACATTTCAGCAGGTGATAGGGTAACCTGGCATTTTCTGCACTATACATTTCACTCTCAAGATCCCAACAAACGTTTCTGTCTTTGCAAAGATTGCTTGTGTCCAAATCCCATGCCACTTGAGGCAAGCACAAAGGGTGAACCCTGCCTCACGTTTCACTCCCACTCTCTCTTACTCTTATCACATTTGAAATAATAATGCAATTTTCCCCACTGGGTAGCCTTTCAAATTTGTACCTTTCTTAGAAATGGAGGGCAGAAGTTCCTCCCAAGCTTTACAGAGATCAGAAATTATACTGATGGGTCACAGGAAGTGCTGCAATCTCTGGCAACAAGTAGAGATGGCTGTGGACCATTGCACACACCAGCTTGGGGCTTGAATTTATATCCCCATTTCAGTACAGAGGTCACCAACCACGTTGTTGAAACATAGACTTGCTGAGAAGATGGTTTTAGAAAGTTTGGCTGCTTTATCTGTGTGCCTCACAGTCCCTTTGTCCCACTACCAAAAATTCACAGTTGCATTTCCCCAGCTTCTGTGAGGAAAGCAACAACGAACAAAATCCAAGGCTACTCATTGATTCAGAAAATTTGAGTCCAGCCTAAGCTCCAGCAATAAGATTTATGGACTGTTCTATCTTGGTGCTGCTTTGTGTGCTGACCAACACCCAAGTACATGGAGATACCATACCATTATCCAATTTATAAGGTAGAGCCTGCTTTCTATAACTTTATAATCTTGTTTGTTTTTTTTTATTTCTTTGTTTGAGCATGAACTCTTCTTCTTTCAGATCCAGGCTCAGCTTTGAGGAAAGGGAGGAAAAAGAAGCAGCACTGGTCACACCTGAAGGTATCTTCACACAACTGAATTATGCATACTTTTCTCATTATTTTTAAGCAATGAATTTGAGTTCTTTGTTTATCATCTCCCTCTTAGCTTGAATTTGGTGCCTCGTATGGTTCTGCCCAACATCTATATTTCCTTGTAGTCTGAGGCATTTCCCTCTTTGTGGCAATTAATAAACATTACACCATGCTCCCACCCCTCTCTCTTCCAAAATCTTGGAGACACATATTTTTTTCCTGAGATAATCCAGCATAATCCCAGGCAGAATATCCTACTGAAAAACAGTGATTTCAGCCCTTGCATATTGGAGGTCTGTGGCTATAAGGTCTGGTGGGACACAGGCAACTTGAATACACTCACCTCTCAGAACTGGCAGAGTTCACATTAACCTATCCCTAAACCTGTTTACAAACCTACAAAGCCAAGAGTACACCTGAAATAACCTCTTTCTTTTTACTCCCTAAAGTGCCTGGGAGGTCCAGGCTTGTGGTATGACTACAGTATGCTTCTACATACGTTCCAGTAGATATCTGGGTTTTGCCTACATAACCCAATAAAACTGTTGAGGGGAACAGTGACTCCTACCATTATTTCAAGATGAGACTCATGGGAAATGTTTGCTATTAGACTCTAATTCTACCTTAAGCTAGTTAAAAAGGTAGGCCTTCTCATGACCTCTGCCTCACTCAGTACCATGACCCAGGTCTCTTCCCACTAAGTGGCAGAAATTAGGTGTTCAGAAGGTGAAAAGCAGGCTCCTGCGTCATCTTTAGCAGGTTTCTGGTGCTCTGCCATTCACTTCAATGCATCCTGCGTATTCCCTGCCAGGGCAGAAGAAGTGTGGTCCTATACATACGCATGTGGCACTCCCAGCCAGCTCTGAACAGAATATACACATTCGTTCTCCATATGTCTCCTTGTGGTATTTGTTTTCACTGTGAAAGCAAGTAATAACGAACTGTAAACCAAAGTGTCGACCAAAACATGGAGGTTCCTGCCATTCCTCTAAAAACCCCATATTGTTCCAACACTTTTTTAAGCTGAAAAGAGACACTCTGTACTATACCCTAGAGATGGTAGGACACAAAAACTGAGTAAGAAAAACTAACAAGATTTCCCTGGAGTACTCAAGCATATTCCCTCTGAAACAGGAGAAAAATACAGTTGCAATGAGTTTCTAGCAGTAGATGGGGCCAGAATGAGACAATATACCTCTAATTGGCTTCAGCTTTCAACTGAAAAAACTAATCCATGAGAAACTATATCTCTCCAAGTCTATAACCACTATTTTCACTTAAACAAGCTTTTTAATAAGCTGAGTTAGCATTTGAGATTCATGTATGCTGAATGGCAGGAACATTTTCTTATGATCAGAGCTAGACACAGCTGCAATGAGGCCAGGGATGGGCAGTGGTTAGTCATCCTGTGCCCACTGAGTATTGCCATGTGCAAAATTAAAACATTTGGGTTTTGCTTATGCACTCACTGATAACCAGAGGTATTGCAAAATGACTAGCCTGCTTGTATTTAAGATGTTGTGTTGTGATCATTATTAATAAAATAAACAACCACGTGCTCTTTGTGACCCACAGATGAACAAACTACTGATGTGCGGTTTAAGTCTGGTTCAAAAATGCCAAGCCCTTTTGCCACTTTCTGTCTGTGTACTTTGATTGCATTTGCTCTGACATATTCCAGCTAATCGTTGTGCTTGCACCTGAACAGAATATAAAGTTACAAATACCATCAGATGATTTTTACAGATATCACATGACAAATACTCTATATTTGGTTTTAACAACTATTTCAGAGAATTCTGCATCTACCTATTTCTCTACCAGTGATATCACTCCAAAATCAATTAAAAAAAAAAAAAAAAGGCACTCTAAAATTGCATACAAATTGCAGCCAAAATTGACAAAGCATATATTTCAGAGACAGACCGTATCTCTGGTTTAAAGTACACTCATAACTGTCATGATGTATGCTAGTAAATCAAGTTCACAAATGTGTGTGCTAAGATTTGAAATGCTTCCATGAATAAATCTATATTCTGTCTGTCTCCACAGTCTAGCTGTCTTAAAAAAAATACTTCAGTGAGCTGACTGTCTCTCCTTAGGATCAGTTTGCTGAGGGGGTAAAGGCCTTGGCCACTGCCTTCCAGACACTGAAACAAGCCAGTACATCCCATATGTCTGAAAAGAAAAATGGTTTTGTTTTATCTCAAACCAGGACACCATGCATTCATGAGCAGTGAATGAATGCAGAGAGTTGCCAAGTGAAAGGCATGAAGATACACAAGAGGTGCTTGAGTTATCTGAAAAATCTCTCCCTTTGTATCACCTCAAGCCAAAGAACCCCAAGTCACTAGCCATCTGGGGAAATGGCATCTCCTGGACCTTCTGACAAATTCTTGACCAAATATCCAAGAAGTGAGGACATGTGTAAACAGCTGGTTTAGACAAATGAATGCTAAGGAAAACTTCTTAATGAGGCATCATCGTTCACTTTACATTCTGTAATGGTAAAGCATTTAGAAACTCAGCACTGCAGCACAGCGAGGTCCACAGTGAACCATGTCTGACAAATTTTATTTCTCTTTTCAAATAGCTTCTCCACGCACATCCCTATTTTTTCCAGTGTATTTGGAATCCTGAATGGTTTCTTTTGTGCCTTATACCTGATATTATAAAGGAGAAATCTCTGCTTCATTGTCTTGCTATGATTGTCTATGCTCTCTAGTTCAAAGAAAAATACATTTATTCTTAGGTTTTGGGAAACACTGCATTTAATAAGTAAGCTCATTTTTCCTAAGTCACATAAGTCACATTTTCCCTATGGTCACAGGAGCATAAAGCTTGCTTTCTATAATCATTCATGCTCATAAAACTAAGTCACAAAATGCTTGAAAGTAGCAAATACTAAATGAGTAGAGACAAAGTCCTTATGAACTCTCATTTACTTTCAGAAAAATATTGGCAGAAATGCTTTGTGCTACAACTTCCATCATAGTATGAATATAAATTACTAGAATTGAACACATTTAAATTGCATTTGGTTTTGACCATGACTGTGCCTTGTTTCCTATGTTTCCCTGAATCTGTAAAATGAAAGTTTTGAGCACATTTAGGCCCTGTGAGTGCAAAATTCTTCTGCATGTGCTGCGAAAACTGAAAGAAAACATTAACATATGTGGTAATGAACATAAGTAAAAATTTTCAGGTCATATTTTTATAGACCTTTTTGATTACTGAGTTCCCATAGAGATGCCACCCTCTCCAAGACATTATGCTGCGAACTGTCACTCATTAACCTGGAAATCTCGGGGCTCCAAAACCTTCATTTGGAGGTTGAAACAATACAGTATTTGACTGCTAATTATTAAATGTATGTCAGAAATTTGCTGCTGTTCTGCACTTGCTAATTCAGTTCCTACTGAGAAAACAAGAAATCTGCCTCTCCAGCAAATCACTGCAAGGAAAAATCAAATACTTGGCTTATAAAATGATATTACTTATTGATTCCTCTCTGGATCTCATTTACTGTTCTGTATTCAGGTCTGACTGCCTTCACACATTAAATATATTTATGAAAAAGGAAGGCTACAGATTTGTCTTATCATTTGATTCCGTTAACAGCACATTAATAGATGAAGAGCAAAATACCCCCACCCTGCATGCATATGAGGCAACAACCAATTGTGAGCTGCCTCTGGGCTCGGTGACCTAGAAACCAGGAATAAGGCTCATAAAATTCAGATGCTGAAGAACAGCATCAGGGACAGCTTCAGAAAAGGGATGATAAATCATTTGACAAGGCCATAAGATGTAAGTGTTTCTGAAACAAAAAAAAAAAAAAAGATAACTCTTTTAAAATATTTTCCAGCTCTATTTTTTGCACCATTTTTGGCTCTTTGAACATTCTCAGAAACCCCATCTTGTGCACAACAACACACTGAATGTCACATTTTTCATAACAGAATTAGTCATTTTACACCCCTTCTCCGAATTCGTCTTCTTTCATTCACGCTACCAGGAATGGCAGTTGTTAATGCACAACATCTATGAGAATATCAAGACTGTGGAAGTACGCTGAAAAAAGACACTTAGCTGTTTGTGATTCAAGTTTTGATAAAACAAGACAGTTTTCAATCAGTGAGAGTTTCAACTATAGGCACACTCCTGTCAAACAGAGTCCTGGAAAACAGAGAAAGTCACTCAAATACAAGTGACTGGATTTTAGCTTTCATGTAAAATCCAGCTGCTGTTAACCAGTTTCATCCTCTGAGCAGGGTCAATTAGAGACACAGTATCCATAGCATATGAGCTCTAGCAGCCAAACAGTCATGAACCTCAACTAAACTAAAACAGAAAAATTATATCATTTTGGTTCATAATTCAGTAAGAGGCATTTCTGCATATTCACAGAAAATCTGAGGAGATTGATTCGGAGTTGTGGGATGGTTAAAACTCTGACAAAGGCCCATTTCTAGGTGGGTTTCGCATTTTTGCAGGTAGTACATGTTTTGTGATTACAAAATCTTAAAAAAATTTAGATGACAGGCCAAGCAAGAATGAGGTAAAGGCATTATGTCTATAAGTTGTGTGGGTACTTAACTGCTAGTGGATTATCTCTTTACTGTAAATTGCTTGGACATATTATGCATGGATCATTCTTAGTACTGTCAATGTCTAAAGTATAATAGCTGACTGACAGGACACAGAAATGATGTAGCAATGACAACAGTTTTACTTCCCAAAGACAAAAGCTGAGTGGACACACTTCCTAATGTTTTAGATTATTCACATTGTGGTGGTAGCGATGATGCTCGTTACCGGAAACCCCAGGCACAACTCGGGCCCCCGCAGCGCCGAGTGCTGCGCAAGCACGGAATAAAAAGAATTAAGTCATTCTCACACAGGAGGGGAAACACAGCAAAATCAGTTTTATATCAGATCTTAGTCATGCACATGTGCCTTTTCGTGGCTGTGTATGCAAAAAAAATACAGGCAAGAAATATCCAAGGATTTGGTGTTTTCAGTTTGAACAGCTTAACAAGCCAATTAGGTAGGAGCAAACGCAGGGCTTCTGGCACTTTCTCAGTGTGATTCGCATTTCTCACCAGCGTGTGCTGCCCTTAGTCTGAAAGAATCGAGTACATTAGGCCATTTTTAAAATGTCTTCTTTCATGCCTTTTTCCTGTGTGCTTTGTTTCTATCCTCCCCAGAACAACCTTCACACCACAGGAGGTAAGTAGATAAAGGCTCCAGCAAGGTACTGGATAAAGGCTCCAGCTGTCCCAGGAGACTTGTTTTCTTCCTCTCACACCACCTTCATCTGGGAAGGTCTCAACAAAAGAAACACAACCAGCACTTGCCACCATCCCCTGCCATCTTTGCGAGTTGCACTTTCATCTGCTTGATAGTTAAATTTCCATTTTCCTGAATTTTTTAATGTAAACACTACTGTCTGTGAATAGGATGGAGCGGGAAGGCATCCCACAAGCTGAACTTATGTTGCCTTGCCTTGGACAATTGAAATTTAAAATAAATAAATTCAAACAAGAGGAAATAGGTGAGAAGTGTATCTACCTTCTCTTGTTTGCAGTAATTGTTTCAATTGTAATCGTTCTGTGACCCAGCCCGTCTGCCATCAGTTCCGTGCTGGTGGCTGAGAAGGATAATGAAAAAGATCAAGTCTGGCTTTCCCACCCAGTGCAGACAAGCAGATCTGCAGAAAGAAACCCATTGTTTCTCAGCTGATGTAACTGCCTTTGTAACTGGTAATGACACGGGTGAAAGAGGGGAAAGCAGGAGGGAGAACTGGTATGAAGGGTCCCTTCCTCTTCACTTCCTTTAGCATCTCCTGGCTTCTGTAACATCACATACAGAGGTGTTCACTTTTCATGGGTGGCCTTGCCGTGTGTTATTTCTTTCTTGACCAAAATCTGTGAGTGTTCTGAGTTTTCAGAAGCAGATTGTTTCAGATTTTGCAGCTTGTTTTGCAGACAAAAGAATCAAAACCATTTGAAAGGAGGTCAATAGGAGTTAAGTATATAATCCGTTTAGGATTTAGCAAATCCTACACAGACCTTTTTGCATTTCTAGGCACCAAACTACCTCCGTGAGCTGGACCCTGTAGAAATTACAGAAGTTTGAATGCTGAAGGGAAACAAACCACTGACTTTTCCATGTTTGTTTTACCATTCCTGCCACTGTGGAAAATGCCCTACCAGACTGGGGTGTCTGTTGGGTTGTGGTGGGGAAAAGTTAGGGAGAAGGAAAGGGTATGGAGACTAGGTTGTTCTTAATGAAGAAGCTGAAGCACCTGTTTCATTCTGTACGTGTAGAATAGCACTGGCTATAGCAGAGTATCATAATGTAAATGAAAGCAGGATTTAGTAAG